TTAGCATGCATAACAATTGCGAAAATTCACGAAGAAAAGTCATGCAAAAAATACTGGCGCCAGAATTCATTTCCAGACTTAAAAATGCTGCAGTGCCAGAGAGGACAGAGTTGCTAAGTCATGAACTCCTTGCGTCCAAATTATAGCATTAGTATGAAAGCGATGAGTGGAAGAACATTTTTTTCTGCAGTGAATTCCCTTAAACAAAGGTTAATATGTAAACCACAACATCAAATAAATCTACTACATTGCTCCTTTTGATGCTGATTAATTGTAAAAATTTAAGGCAGTAAGTTTAATACATTCAGTAAAAAATGGTTAACGTTTTTCAGAATGACTTTAAAAAATGAATACCTTCTTGTATTTTGCCTTTAATCGTGAATATAAGCTAAGTAATATTGGACAACTTTTGTAATTAAAATTTCATGATGCAAGGAGTGCCTTAGAATGTGTGGAGTTCATCTAAGCGAAGCCGAGGGTCTAAATAATGCATAATTTGCATGCAAATTTAATGCATTGGCAAACCTCAGTATAGAAAGACAAACGAGGACCTGAAAGNTCTATGGATTGGTTAAAAGCTTGATATAAATCCCAAATAATCTAGATATTTTAGAACTAGTCTGGTAGAAATGTAATTTTCAAGGTTTTATTCCTCACACAGCATATATTGAGTCGCGATAATCATTTTGAGCTCAGACAAAGTATCTGTCAAGTTTCGCAACATCCAAGCAGCATTACATTTATTTCCTATGGTGACTTCGAACCATGCATTTTTGGTTGCAACCCGCTGTACAGTTAAGAATCAGGATAAGATTTCTTTAAGATTCCGATACTAATTAATTGAAAATACCCTTGGTCTAAAATAAGCAAAATATTCCTTTTCTTCTACCTAATGTGACCTAAATTATTTTCTGTCTTAATGTAGTGAAACTTTTTTATCGGGTATTCGGGCCTTGTAAGACCTAGACCCGCCTATTCTTTACAAAAGTGAGCTGTAATTGAGCTTGATTTAAAAAAAAATTAAGCCCCTGTGATGGATATTGTGTACGCTACCATTAACTAATCCTGGAAACGCCACCATAAGCTACCTACTTGCTCAACGCGTATCACGGTAACAGAGAGCCAATGTTTTCTCATTGATTTTTTGTGATTTGTTAGTAATTCTCTACCCTGGACCTGGCCTAAGTGGGTTAGGCGGCTGATTGACGCCTCGGATTTGATTATCGTCGAACGTGACGACATAAGGCAGCTGAGATCGAACGACGTAAATTATTGCTTCATGATGAATAACCACAAATTTCCTTGACGTAAAGCAGTTGTATGTAGAACTAAATTTGATCAATTTAATTTATTTGAAATCAAATAGTTTAGAGAATTGGAATTATATATCCACAATTTGATTTTCTATAAAACTCAAAAAAAAATTATTTCTAGGTGATCTTATGGCGTTTATAGAATGAAGTACAAGCGCGTATATTAATCCGACCAGAATTTCCTGTGAGATTTCGAGCGTTGAGCAGCAGTAAGAAAGATCGTTAATTGTTCTGGTCACACAAAACGAGCGGCCTCTGTCCCTCTGTCGTAGGCGCGGAAATGAAGACAAGGGAAGACTTGAGGGACTGCATTCCTGAGGTCTTCATTAATTCTCCAGCACGCAGCCATATTGCATAACCGCAAGGACGTTTATAGCTCCATGAGATTAATACACGGGGACAAGGGCCTTCAAGAACTCGATATACCACAACAAAATATTTCACTTAACACCAAGAAATAAAATATTTTCCTCGGAGATATTTTATGTAAAATTGCAATTGAAACTATGCACCAAACTCGATCCCATACATATATGGATACGCTACTAAAACCTATAAAAATTGAAGATATAAGGACACTACAGTAGATGCACGCTTCACGCTCAAGAACTATCAACTCAATTACAGCAGCCAATTTCGCCAAAACTACATTAAATTGAACAGTGCCTGGATAGCCGTTGCCAATAAAACAAGCAGGTTCTGCACTGGAGTGCTCTACGAACATTGGGACTGCGCAACCGATCTTTGCTAATTAAAGACGGCTTCTAGCCAGTGCATTCTAAATAAACTCACAATATAAGACAATTATATTTTAAACTATAAAAATTCATGTGTTCTGTGGACGAAATGTCATGCGATTCGTTGGCATATACATTTTTTCCATTTTAAAAACCCTAATCCGCTCATCGGATGTCAGTCTATTATTTAGAGATTGGATTTAAAATTGTACATCCTTCCATTCCTCTTGCCTCCCCCCCCCACCACCATCTTAAGACGCAGCACCAAAGCCGGTGGCGATGTCCGGATTGTATATTAGTCTTCATTTCTTGAATGCTCTTAAATCGTTCATACAAACAAACAAATTTTGTGTTCCGAACACAACGTAAAATCCCAAGTCAGATCGCAGGTGCATCGCCCACTAACATGGAGGTGACAGCTGCCAGACTTTGTTAGTGTTGATTCGTAACTGTAAGACACTTTTCACCCATCATTTTTACTGAAACGTATGATAGGCTTTGACTTACATGATGAGTAAATGTAATACCCATCTAATTATATGGTACCTGTAATTTTTATGCGATAGAAAAATTATCCAAATCAATTTTTCCTTTTCTCTATTTCCATTTCCATTTGAGTAAAATCAGCAATTAACTATACATATTTAAAGAATCGGGAATTCAACTTCATTTTTATCCATTTGAATAAGAGCTGTAACATTTCTCATCCTCTGATGACGACGAGGCTGAAACAGTCGAGGATATCAGCATTGCAGCAGTTACAACTGTTCATGTGAATGAAGTTCAATTAAAAAAAATATAACTCAGTACTCACTGCAGCGAGTGACAGAGAGCGCATTTTCTCGTCGACAAAAACTTGAGGTCATGGACGGACGGACAGACGGACAGACATACGGACATGGCGAGCACAATAGTGCATTTTTTCCATAAATGAGAAAATGCGCTAAAAAGTTTTAAATATTGTTCTAAATGTAACTGAACAAAGTTTTATATAGATAAATGTGTCCTTAATTTTCTCCGAGAAGTGAGGGAACATGAATGAATGTTTAAATTTTATAAAAGTAGTTAAAATGAAGTCGACATCGAAGGAGCCAAAACGTACAGGGTCAATTGTCCTCCGGCAGGCGTGACGAGTATGACGCGGCGTATATACGTGGCTCATCACTTGTTGCGCGTTGCGTCTCACACTTGTTGCGCAGGAACGTATCTACTGCAATTGTTTTTGTGCTGTACCATTCATGAGGCTCAAGATTTTGTATCGACAAAATAAATGTCAGACATTAAGCCAAAACATTAAATATAAAGCACGGTTCAATTCTTGATCATCAGACATTAAGCCAAAACATTATGTATTGAGTGCAATAATTTTGATTGTTGATCATATCACGATGAACGGGGTTTGCTTTTGAGTCTTATCCGCCGAACGTCAGCCTCGAAAATACGTAAGAACTCGCATGCGTCTCATTCAGTAGGCTAACTTATACATACAAGTATGACGTAAAATCAGCTAAATTTCTTGTTTATCTGACGATGCATGGTAATCAAGCTTGCTCCATTAGATCGATAAAATAATTCTTTTACATCATCGATGATCCGGCCAATAAATTAATTTGACTATCTCTTTCGTTTGACTATTTGATATATATTTAATTCTGTGTTTGAGTTCAACGTACTCCCGTCATTTCAAGGCATAAAAATAAATCTCAGCAGAGCTTAATAGCTTAATATTTTCGTGCCGAAACTATAACTAGTTTCGTGTCAGGTTCTAGACGACGTATACCAAAACTCTGATCGTGCGATATGACGTGCGGACAAGCAGCTGCGGTGCTGACATCGTCACGCATGATATGTTTTCGCGATCACTTGTTGGCCAACAAGCGTTACCTTCGTGATTTAAGAGCAAACAAATTGATTAAATCCAACGATTTGACTGGAACTAGTCGTGAATTTTAGAGCGTTTCATTAAGGGACATTTGCCGGCCGACTGTAAGCCATTGTTTTACAGAATTTAAATCATCGTTTTACAAAATTTGAATCGTTGTTTGTCTAATCATCTTTAACAATACTAATCCAAGTAATAATTTTTAATAATAACTGATTCCAAGCCAATACATTACATTTAGCAGTCAGTTGATAGAATTTGAAACAAAAGACCAATTTCCATTTCATGATCTTTAATTAACACATATCAATAAACTGCTTTATAAGGCATCTTCTTCATCGCATCTGTTTGCGTCGCAATTCTCTATTACTCCCCCCGAAAAATACGTAGTCGTTTTTCATCAACTTTAAGAAACGAGCTTAATTAGAATAAAAGATTTGATTTTGTCTATTTATCCATTATTGCAGAACCCCAAATGAAATTATTATAGCTAGCAGGGGATGAGTTTTCACTAATCGTTCTAAAAACTAAACTCTTGAGAAAGGAAATTACTTAGTTTTCGTATTAAATAGAATCAGAATTTTCGTCATAAAACAAAACAGAAACAAAATAATTCATTAGCATGTAGATAATTCATAGCCATGCCCAGTTTGAGCGCATTGATATAGAATTCTAGTTAAGTCGAGCGGCTGTTTGACAGCGAAATATTCTTTATTCGATTGTGCGAACTCAAAAATCCTTTTCGAGCAAATAACAATACAAATTAAAATTCGGTAACATTTTTGTACAACTTTCTTTTCTGAAGTCGAATATTATTATTAATCATTCCCTTGTGCTTCTAATGAAACAATAAAATTTATGCAGAACCACTGAAAATTATAATAACAAAGTAGTACAGTTATTAGTACCTGATTGGAAAATCCTTGAAATACCTAGTAGTACCTGTTTGGAAAATATTCATTGCAAATTCCATCAAGAATTTGACCCACGATGCTCTCAAATAAGCGCTAAATTAATCGTGAATTATCAAGAAACGCAAGTATAATACCGAAATAATGGTGTACTCACGTTACTGCTTTCTTCCATGACGTGGTAAATTAAATTGCTGAGGTTGTTGCGATGTTTCGGCGTTTCCTTCCTCCGACGTTTCTACGGTAGTAAACTTACGGCGCTGAGCTCCCGAACGAAAATATACGACCGAAATACCACTTAATTTATCGAAGAAACGACTTAAAGCTGCCTAGGCAATTGTTCTGCGACTTAAAGGCATCTCCATTCTGTCTTTGATTTTCAGGTTTGTAATTAATATTTACACTTAAAAGTTAATATGAAAAGAACTGTAGACCCCTTTTTTCATTATTAAATTCAGTGCAGCAAAAACAGAGCACAGTAATCTGAGCAAAGAAGTCGTAGGTGGAGAGTGCGTCATTCAAGAACGACGTAGGAGCTCGTCTCGCACAACCATCCCGGATACCTGGCACTTGCCAACTGAACATATTCAAAGGCCGGTTACATGCTTCAGAATATAACTATCTTGAAATTAGTTCATTCAAATGAAATTCGCTCTAAACATTAGTGGTCAGTGACTTATAAACGATTCAGTTGCCTTAGTTTCGGGCGATCATCGTAAAAATAAGAGTTTGACCACCAAAATTCATAATTCTTTCAAATTGAAGTCCTTCTCAGAAGTCTTTTCTCAGTCCCTTCTCTCCGCTGATGTCAGCTCCTGTTTTCACGTGCGCAGCTCAGAAATTAATCTAAAATTTTTAAATACCGCTTGACTGACGGATTAAACGAGTCGGCTTTCAATTTCTTTGAATTGAGCTCGGAGGGGTCGCGTCTGCAGTTGAGGTGCCAGTGCCTCCATCTCAGTGCCGTGGAAACTTCCTGAGCCTCCATCTAATTTACTGCGAATTGCAGCGCTCGATATACATGTTCAGAGGCCACAAGCTCCCTTCCCAAAGCCGGCCAAATTAACGGCTAGGGTTCTGCCTCTTTTTACCGAGTGAATTTTAAGGATAACGCAGATAAGACTACCAAGGAATATTGCCAAAAACACGTGGATATTTGAAAAGTATTTCTACTTTCCAACCGCGCAATGGTGTATCTAGTATAATATGCGTAATTTGTACTGGCAGTGTGAGAATTTTAATTAGTTTTTATTAATAAATCTATAAGTTTTTTCACATGCCTTTCACAATGACATGCTACGATTGAAATAACGTTGCTCTAATTTGAAGTACAAAATTTCTAATGAGGTTTGACTGCTGATGAAGCCGTTGAATTCTAAATATCAAACTCAACCTTTGCCTAAGCCCATGACGATTGTTACCTTATTGAGGCTGCATTGTAAAAATTATTCACCCAGGGTTATTGAATGATTGCCCCCTTAGGACAAAACGGCTGTGATTTTGCGATTTGAAGTGTTCATTTCTAAATCGTACACGGAACAGCTGGCTAACTGCAAAATCGTATTAATGCTTAATATGGAATGGTGACTTGGTGGTCAGATAATAAATTTTGTGAAGTAGGAGCTACGAGGAGGAAGTCAAGATCATGCGTGTGGGGTAAGTACCAATCGTAAAGTTTTCCCGTTGCTTATATTCACGCTGTTTTTGTTTTTTTTTGTACAGCTGTAGTCATTCGTGCTACATCGCGTTAAATTAAAACCCGTTATTCTCATAGAATAAGTAAGGTTTATCTTATTTAATCTGCGTTATTTGCACTATTAAATGCAGACATGAGGGCAACAAACATGAGGGGAATGGACTATAATGTCTCTGAAGTGGCCGCGCCTGAGGCTGTGGCTCATCAACAGTGATTTGACGCTCGAATGATCGCGCTCGCTTCTCCGTTGATCAAGCGAGCCTCACGTTATGCATACTGACTCAGCGACCAAATTAGAAGTCAAATTAACGAAGTTCGGGGTTCATTAGGAACCTTATCCGCTTATTGGCTTCTTGAGGGCCGACTCTCTGGTACAGCTACCGTCCCTTTAATGATTATGAGAGCAAATTGATCATTTTAGCCGCAATGATTTGGCTCAAACTAACGTTACCTGAATTTTGAGTGAAGGATAATGAGTCCTCTTATTCATAATTTTATTCTTAGCGCCAATTTAATTGAACCGTGCACACTGCATTGGCTCTTTATTTATAAAGGGGCAACACTGGGCTACACGTTTATAAGGTTATTTTTACACCTTAAATAAACACCTTCCAAAAATTCTTAAATTTCAGTCTCTAGGTCATGTAAATTAATTTGAAAAAGTTCGTACGGCATTCGAGATATGATCACATTTCTGCAGTTGCGTATTCCACTTATTATGTATTAATTCATTCCATTATCTATTTTGTTACCAACCAAAACATTTCATTCTAAGCATTATCGTATAGCATCAATATTCCAGATGACTTCCTAGCTTCGATGATTAACTTCACAAACTAGAAAATTTAGAACATTTACCCAGAAACATCTCCTTCAACTATAACGTAATAACCTCACAGGATCTTCTAGGTAATTTCCATCTGTTCCGAAATTCTATGCAGTGTATTTTTTTATTGATGAAAGCGAGGCCTAAATGGCAATTTCGGCGGGTACTCGACCATTATAAATGCATCACAGACACTCGTTCGGCTTGATGGAATCCGGCCTCCAGCAATCCGTGCTTCAGTGGAACTTAATCCTGCCAAATGTTAGCGCAGCCTTAAAGTAGTTCAGCTATGGTTATTCTCCTGCGAGGTATGAAAACCTTTGATTCCAACTGTCTTTTTTCTCCAGCTCTATAATGCCGATTGAAATTATTCTCGTGTGAAGTCTGTAGACCTCTAATTCCAACTGTCTTTATTCTCCAGCTCTACAATTAATGCCGATTGAAATTACTCTCGCGTGAAGTCTGAAGACCTTTAATTCCAACTGTCTTTATTCTCCAGCGAGGTCTGGAGAGCTCTGTAATGTCAATTGATATTTTTCACCTGTGAGGTGTGAAGACCAACTGATTCTATTCTGAAGACCAAATGAGGTCTCTAATTCTAACTGATTCTATTCTGCTTCGAAGCATGAAGACCTCTAATTTTAACTGTCTATATTCTCCAGCGAGATCTGAAGACCTCTTGTTCATACTGACTTTATAATCCAGTGATGCCAGGTGACCTCTAATTAAAACTGACGTTATTCTCCAGCGGTGTCTAAAGACCTCAAATTTCAACTGTCCGTATTTTCGAGCGATGTCTGAGAATCCAATTCCACCGGACGTCATTATCCTGCGCGGTCTAAAGACCTCTCATGCCAGCTGACATCACTATTTAGAGAAGTATGAAGACGCCTTGACACTAGTATAATTTTTGTTCATTTCGCCTCGCATTAAAAATTTATATATCTACTGTATTCTGATCTCCCGACGATTCATATTTTTATTCATAGAATACGGTAAAAAATCGTGTAATTGTTATCTGGGCTCATGCATTTTATTACGAAAACTTTTTCAGCCATTCTCAAATCCCATAAATCCTGTTGCAAAAATTATTTTCCCGCTAGTGCTATTGTTCAAACCCTGCAGCATAAGATCTTTTCGGAGCCCGTTCTTTCAAACCGAAATTTTTTGAAAGGATCAGAGGTTTTTTGTTCGTTGCTCGTCGTCTTCGTTTACTGGCGGATCTTGGTTATCGGAAGAAGCGTTTACTCACAGGACGCTTGGTTCCGGACTGATCGTGTTCCGGCCATTACAGACAGACAGTTTACCTTTGTTTTACGCAACGAGATTGTTTTCGCTGGTCAATCGTCGATAAATGACCTTGTGTGGTCTCGTCAGACGAGCGGAGCTATGTTTAGCGACAGTTATTCAATAGGTAATGTGAGCAACTCCGCATACTGAAGAATTCAAATGACGAACAAACGTTTATGAATTCGAAAAAAAAATTCATAAAATTTCGGTCCGATTCGGACAATCTGGGACCCAGGCTTTTGATTGCCCATGCACATGTTCAGAGGCAAACAAACCATATGAGATATTTTTGACGCAAGACAAAAATTTATTTATTTTTACGTTATCGATGATAACAATTCCCATTGAAATTAACCGACTAGACTATTTGAAAATTTCCTAACTGTTTGGGCACTTTTGATCGAACATAAAAAAAACCTGAACGTTTACCCTGAATCTCCTTTGATTTGAGCTTTTAAATAAATTCAAATTCGATCCTAAGACTAGGAAGTAATATCATAATTTTTAGTGGAGAATGAAACCCTAATGCTGAATTTAAAATGAAAACAGCTTCGTCAAAACTTTTCGAAGTCCACGCATTATTTTCTCTCTGGCCGCCAAGCTGCGGATATGAGATGGAATGCAGCATCAAAGTAATTTCCTGTTGAGCGCTCATGGCCTGATAAAAAAAATAAAGCGTTTGCAGCGTAGCCGTGACCCGTTGAACGCCTGTAGGAATATCATTGCAAAGAATTCTGTTCCTCGATTGTAAGCCAAACATCTCATATGACCCGCTGAAAGCCTGTAGGAATATCATTGCAAAGAACTCTGTCCCTCAATTTTGAGCCAAACATCTCATATGACCCGCTGAAGGCCCGTAGGAATATCCTTGCAAAGAATTCTGTTGCCTGTAGGAATATCATAGCAAAGAACTCTGTCCCTCAATTGTAAGCCAAACATCTCATATGACCCGCTGAAGGCCTGTAGGAATATTATTGCAAAGAATTCTGTCCCTCGATTGTAAGCCAAACATCTCATATGACCCGTTGAAGGCCTGTAGGAATATCATAGCAAAGAACTCTGTCCCTCAATTGTAAACCAAACATCTCATATCGAATTAAATTCGTTTTTTTTGTAGAGTACAATTATATTTTCGCTTCAACGACTTGAAACCGCATGTCGTTAAAAAAACTTGCGGAAATAGAAACCAACAAAAAAATTTAGTTTTTTAACGAATTTAAATGCTGATTAGTTTCACTGAGTTGCAAATATTTATACAAATATTAATCTGACGAATATATCTTTGATGAGACTAAGTCTGAAGAGCTCATGACGCTCACAAGATATAGAATTTGGTCTCTATGTCATCATCAAACTGGACATCGAAGTTTAAATTGTGTGTATTTCTCATTAATCATATGCATCATCGAATGATGTTACTGATTTTTTGCTGGAAAACTTAGTTTATTATATTTTAAAATCAAATTTGAATGCAAGGGAAGTATGAATAGAATCTTGCAATCTGTAAACGCCTTTTCAATTTAACTATCACAAGTACG